TATGAAAACCCTAACCAGGAGTCTTGGTCACAAGGTCCCGTTAAGCTCTCTGGCTGGGGACCTCAGGATGATCATATTCGATGGTTAGAGATACTGAACGATGTGGCTGGGTGTCGTAAACAGTGGCGTTTGTGTATTTTGTCGATTTCTTCGCAAAATTAGTGCAATGAAATCCTAAATTTTCCTTCGATCTTAATTTCAACCTTTCCTGTTTTTCTCCTCATGTTCATTCAAATGGGCAGCCAAAAGACAGCAACCAATACCGGTGCACGATAGTGCATGGGTAATGGTTGTATAAACTGAATTGAACGGAACTTTGGTTAGCCGAAGACTCGGGTTGTGAATTCTCCACGAAAATTCATCTGCCTTGGTTTGGGTAACCTAGCAACATCGTGCTTTCCTGCAGATTATGTATTAGCCTGAAATCAGACGTGTGTGAGTGCATATATATATATATATATATATACATATACTTTTGTTTGTTTTCGGAGAACTGAGTTTTTTCGGACTGGGTAGGGTTTAGACAAACCTGGTCCAATTGGTGACGGTTGACGGCCGAAAGATCAATTATCTTGTGGCGTTCCGAACGGGATTGGATTGGATGGATTCACTTGAAGTTGTAAAGGTATACACCTGGAGCCTATAGGTGTGACGTTTCACAGTCAGACACAATAACTGTCACGCATCTGACCACTGCTCGTGCACGCCTATCTTTTTTCTAATTTCATGGTGTCACAAAATCAGTTTACTCGTATGAGTTGCTATCAGGGATGTGTTTACGGTCGTCAATGAAACACCGTAACAAACAGCGACTGGGGGAAAAGCATTTTATGCCTAATGCGTTTCGGTATTTGACTTTCTAGCAATAAATCATTCAATGTTTCTACGGTCAAACGGAAATGAGAACAGTTTAGCTTGTGTTAGAAAGAATGGTAACCAAATCCATCTATGTTATGCAATGCATTATCCATCATTAGAGTACAACAAACCTTGTGATAAGTGTGTGGCAAAATAGCGCCATATTGACGACGAACAAATTGGCCCAGTTCGACCTGTTGCCGTACGCCCAAACTGGTCAACTGACCGTAACCGGCAGACCAATGTGATTCGTACGGGTCATGCACCGGTCGATGAATTGGTGAACGATCCCCGTGACGACTCAGTGTGAACACAAACCGAACAGTGGATGTCACATCCGGGTCCGTGCTGGACTTTGCTGTCGTTGTGACCAGTGGAAGAAAGCAAGCGCCGTAGAACAGTCGGACTAGAAACGTTAGAATTGTCGGTTTGATGTGAATGGACAGATGATGACGATGACCAGGTCGGTTGGATTGGCATGATCCAAGGAGATTGGATCGCCGAGGACCCCGGGGAGATGAACTGTGTTTTGGAACTGACCGGGAACATCCCGTCGGGAAACGCCAGTGAATCTGTAAATCAAAACACAGAATAGCTTGCCTCCTGTAGTTTTGGACAGAAAATTTTGAAAAAGAAAACTATGAAATTCTAGGCGACTACTGAATGACAGATTTGAAGTCGACCAAAAAAAGCTTCTGCAAAGAAAACACAAATGCTTACGATATATTTTTTCTCTCTTTGGAAAGGGGGAACGGACTTCTGTACCTATCAAACTGATGAGTGCTCGAGTCATCTGGGACGGAAAAAAAGACAAATTTGACCGCTCTCCTTAACCACTTCACGGTGAATCGATTCCAAACAAAATCATTACTACATTTTTACGATTTTACAACTAGCAGTACTTAAATAACTGGACAAAATTTCCCTGGAAGCACACGACCGGTCTCGCGGTTCTTGTCACTAGCCAGGCATATGTATCCGGTAATCTTTTGTCAGCTCATTCATATACTTCTAACCAAGAAATACATTTTCGTCACAATAACCTCATTTGAAATACAGGGTAACAGCTTCGTCCGAACCGATCTACTGATGTTTCAATACTATGATTCGATGTTTTGAAGGTGGGTTGGATACGACTAAGCGTAACAAACGTGACTTAAACTTAAATATTTTACAATAAGTAGTCTATGAATAACGCCACAAAATTTATATACGTATGGACTTAATTCCGCTGTTTCAAACACTAGTTCAGTTTACTTTATTCTCGCAACCATATCGATTGTGTTTATCCAACTTACTGAACCAAAGATTATCCCATTTGGTTCAGATGAATACACAGACACACCCCAAGGCAATGTGAGTTTCGATGCATCGTGTATAAAATGGGACAGATCGAAGGAATTCGGAAGGATGTAGACTGAAGAAAAATGCGGTTACACAGAGACGAAATGAGGAGCTTGACTAATGTACTAGGTGTTCAAGGCGGTGTTCGCAATCGAATATAAAGCTCTTCGAGCGACGACGACGACGACCAAGAACAGGGGGGGGGCGTAATTGATCTGTGTCAATTAGAAGCGGAGAAAACGACTCTCTGAAATCTGTACTGGAATGTATCGCATATGCACTTTGTGCCTCGTTGAAATGCATTGGTCAGATTTCATTCGACAAGGTCGAGGCTTCGAAACAGAGTAGAATGCATCACACGGGGTAGATAGATCGATTAGATTCTGATCAAATGAAGTAGTAGACCAAAAATCGTTTTCAGATCAACCAATACGAGTTTAAGTTGGATGAAGAAGTTAATTGAGAACACGCAAACATTACGGTAATAGGCTCGATTGTGGAATTGTATATTTACACACCTATCTGAATTTAGATTGTGTGCCAAACAAACCATGGTGCAACAATCTTTATGAAAAAGAGACGTTCCATGATTTACACGTGGGCCGAATACTGCCAGGTTACCCAGGCCAAGCCAGGTGAATTTTCTTGAGAAATTCACAACCGGAGCCTTCGGCTAGCCAAAGCCTAACCTGCAAGGCAGCGGGGCGGTGTGTGTAAACCGCAATCTATTGGGAACCGGTGTCCAGTTCATTGGATCATTTACCCTTTGGACGGGGTCAAACGTCTAAGGTGCCCAATGCACCTCGATGCCCAATCGAATCGGTGACCACAACTGCCACAACCGGGGAGGCGTGCAGCTATTGAGTTTACATTGCCAAAATCCTTTTGTTACTTTTAATGAACTGTGTGTGTGTGTGCGTGTGCAAAACAGTGGAAATCACTGCCCTAAGTTTTTCGTTATATTTTGATTTATTCAGGATTTTTCACTGATTACTCTTTGTATGATGAATTCGTCGTGCAAAAGGAGGCTTAATCTGAAAAGCGGTGAATTACTGGGCGGTAGTTTCCATCTGGGTGCAGTGCACGAATCTATCAACCTAACGGGGGATCGAACTCGTCACAAGTAGAACACAAGCATACTGCCCACTCGGTCATCCTGGGGCAGCTGATTAGACCGTTTCCTATTTTGAATTCACCATAGAGCACAATTCATCTTTGGTCGATTTGTGCACTACTGATGATACCCAACCAGGTCGAAACAGCTGCCCAGCTGTGCTTCCCAGCTTTTCCCCTTACGCGTTATTTACACGACGAATTCATCATGTAAACAAATCAAATCCTCAGTGACTCTCAGACAGTGGATAATTTTCCTTTTTCTCTCTTTCATGCAATGAATAGTTTATTTATACAGCTTTTGTTTTATCAATTAACCTTCAGAAAAACACCTCCTCTGGCCAGTTGTCTACTTGTCGAATTGCATCGTGTCGCACAAGCGGATTCCGCTTCGACCGATCCGTTCTATGTCCGATTCCTGTACCGCAATTCCACATCGACCGAATCACCCGAACCGATTCCATTGTGGCCTCCGTCTTGTGGTCCGGCATTTGTTGCCCGGAAACAACAATATTTATGTCCGTTACGCAGTCTGGAATCGGCTATTCGAGGCACCTACGTTCTTCAAACGCAGGCGAATCAATGCGTGGAAAAAACACGAAACGAATCGTTCTATACGCTTATCCAACCCGAATGTACTGTGAGCGTTTCCATGTTTGGGATTGTTCTGTTACAGTTTTTCCTGTTACTCTGTCTGTTTTTCCGTATGCGAAGAAACGCTTGTAAACTACGTGCCGTACACGTGCTACCATAACCAACTACGTAGAACCCAATCTACGTCAGATCTGCTGATGATAATTGGAGTGCCTGGGCCCGAGTTTCCAAGATGTATTCCTTGTGCACGTTCGAGGCTAGAGAGAGAACGTGATTGAGACTGCGGATAAATATGGTCGACGAACCACAGATGATGAACGTCTTTCCAAATCGATCCGGTATCAAATTTGGCTGTTTATACGTTTTTTCGTGAGTATTGTTTATTGTCCATTCTCACGTTTTCCGTTTCCACAATGTTCCGGTTATTTCATCTGTGATAATACAGACTTTCAGTCCTCTTTGCGGATCCCACCGATATATCCAGTTTGGTTTATTTTGGCTTTTTTTATTATCATTATGATGTCTTTATTGGCTTTATTTTGTTGGAATCAGTTTACACATTCCCCTCATGTGCCAACATTACTGGACATCAGTTTTCATTTCAGTTTCTACAACCGATATGACATGATTTCACATATATATATATATATATATATATATATATATATATA